CAAATCGACCATCCGTAGTGTATTAACATATGTACTTTACTTACAAAAAAGGACTTTTCATTCTACACAGCCAAAAAAAGTTAAGTGTATTTGAAAAAAATAGGTAAAACAGACCACTTTAGGATCCCTTTAATAGGAGCGTATTATTGAAATTGGTTATATATTAATTTCATGGTTATACATATAATACTATATGGTCTTTGTTTTATTTCGAATTCCCGTTTCATATTGTTTGATGCTGAAATACATTGTATATTTAATAGCATGTTTATAAAATATTCACAAAAATGGATACAATCGTAAAAAGACTTTCAAATTTTAAAGAAAGAATCATTTTATTTATAATAATTTATTAATTCTTTTTTAATTAATTCAAATAATTTACACAGTATTTCTTACTTTGGTAATACGATATAATTAGATTAATATAGAATTGTTATCAGATTTTATGATCAATAATTTAGAGCATATGTGCAAATCAAATCTCCTTCGTCGTGAAATATTTCTAGCATGGCATTATTCACTGCATCAATTAAAATATGCTACAAGGTTTCGATAGATGAACGGGTCGATGGTTGGGGCTTCCATAATCCATTCGAGAAGGCACCGAATCCGTAATATTCGTGCCAAGCGTAATTATTTTTATCCGAAAGATTAGCAGAGAGCAAAACGGGCTATAATTAAATCCGCCAAATTCGTGAATATAGCTAATTATAAACATTGATATACAATTAAAGCTTCTTCCAATTTGTTTTTGTTTCTTAAAGTTTTATCTCTTACTCGTTGTTTTTATCGACATATTGAAACTTGAGCCAATTTCTTTTGAAAAAAGTTATGTTCTAGTTTAAAAGTAAGTTATTTTTAATTTTTTGTGATTAATATGAACGGTATAGAATTTCATTTTTTAGTTAAGTAAAAGGCATATGTTCCTGCGTTTAATAATTGAAAATAGGTGCGGGATTCAGGCAATAAATAGTATACGTTTCATCGTGAATTCGCTCACAGACGACTATCGATTCTTCGGTGTTCACTTATTAATGGCAATGTGGGGCAACGTTAACCTTTACTATAGGTCGCCGCGCCCAGACGACACAAAGTACAGTACACATTTCTTTTTTCTTGTCTTTTTTTAAAGTCATATAAAAAGGGAAAATTGCGGAAAAATTCTAGAATTCTATTATTAGTACCATTACTTGCAGTTTTATCGCATTGGTGTATCAAAATGGAAGTACGTGATGTAATAAAATTAATATCGCGAGTTGAATAAATAAAATTCTTATAAAAATGAAAAAGTACAACATGAATTTGTAATGAAAAATTTTATTATATAGTTAGCCGCACGTAAAAAACTAAAACTAGTTTGCAAGCTCGATGTTAAGATTAAACGCGTCGATTAAATGGAAATCCATTGATGGAAAAGGAAAACACGATGCGATTCAGGGACGAATCCTGATGCGAACTCGTAGGACAATAAGCACTCAGAGTTCCCACGACATCGCGCGATTCGCGACGCATCGATTCCATTGACATTATTAGTGAGGCTTGCGCGTAATCGCGGAATAACGACGAAGAGTTAAATGGAAAAGCGAAACGCCTACAGATATACTTAGTCATCTAAGGAACTTGGATTTGCCGGTCTGTAGTGTCTCTGTCTTTCATTTCAGTTGCGACCCACGCGCACTCCGAAATTGTTCATTGACGAAGCTTGTTAAAATAGCGTGAAAATCTACGTGAAAATATGCGAGTATAAGTCGTAGTGAATCATCCCGTAATAGACCGTCTACTTTAGCTGTTACAAGAATCGCAGGAAATTATGAGTAAAATTGCAAAATTAGAATTAAAGTAAGCGGCATGAATTTTCCAGCATTACGGAAAAATATTTTTAGTAGTTTTTCATTACGAATGATCTAAAATCAGATGTTTCTGTAATAAGAAAATTGGGACGCATAGTTTTCAAATCATTAAGTATCTCGAAAATAAAGAACTTCTGACGATAAATTTCAGAAGAGAAATTAGATACTTTATGCATATATATATATATATTGCTATTGAAATAACTAATTATTCTTAAAATAAAAGAACTGTTATCTTATTTGCAGATGTAAACATTGTGGCAAAACCGAAGTCTCGCTCAACTGGACGTCAACAACTGGATTTCACTAGAACACTGGCAACGATGGGTGAGTTATCAATTTATAAAAATAAAATTTCATATCAAACGTAAATACATTTTTAATAACAAAATGAGTTTTTAACAATGAAGCGGAATCTTAAATGGATTTTACTTTATTGCAAAGTTTAACTTTTATTGAGTTTAGCTAAAGTTCAAAACTTAATTACAAAGATATAAAATATTAGAAGTTAGAAAGACAAATCAGCCCTTGAAGATTTTAAAAATTGTTGTGAAATTGAAGAAACTACGATTGCAAGAATATCTTGCGAGTTTAAATTTTTCATTTTGTATACGTAGAGCAATTTTAGGATGTTCTGTATTTTTAATGTTAGGACAAACAAGCAGAGAACAGTGAAGCGAGAGGAGAACAGTGGCTGTCATCGAGAGCGATTTTTGCTAAACTTGCCGACCGTTCTCTCTCTCTCTCTC